CTTTCCCTCTCTTTCGTTCCCTTCTAACTCTCCCCCGTTTCAACCCGCTCCTCCCTCCGCTCTTCGTTTCTTTTCGCCGACGATTTTCACCCAATTAACGTATGATTTTGAGTTCATCCCGCATATTAAATTTCTGATTCGGGTCTGAATGATTATGAAAGCATATTAAGAAAATTACGAGAAACAATGTCATATATTTCTCTTTAATAATTAAATATTTTATAATTTAATAATGTAAACCACAAATTTGCACAGTTGATGAAATTTTTCGTCATTAATAAATTTTTAGAATGATAGAAGAAAAGCAATTGGAGATTGTTAGCGATTTAAATATATTATATAACATATTATATAATTTATATAGCTTTTCTATTTTTTTCACTGCAGCTCCATATTTATCATAATTACGCGATATCGGATACGAGAAATCATATGAATATTTCCGAAAATGAACTAGTTTCCCAAAATAAATTAATTTTCTTTTTCTATTCATATAGCACCATTACGTATGACCTATATTTCCAAATGAATCTCGCGTGACAATCGTGACAAGAGTTACAGCTATTTGTTAATCAAAGAGAGAATTTTCGGTATATTTTACCAATGTATACCTATCAAACGCAAATGATGACATAAAAAATTAATTTATTTCAATTCATACAAGAGAAAAACATTTTTGATTTATTCCGCAAAGAAAAACATTCACATGATTTATCTCTTCTGACATCTTAATTCGATATGATTTGCATATAATACGAGAAACCAGCATTAAATTCCGTCATTATTATAAACTCTTTAAATAATTGTCAAATATTTATATATCTGTTTTTTTCAGAAGGATTTACTATTTTGCACAGAAAACAAACATATATAGAGTAAAACTTTATTTACATTAATACGTGATCGATTGTTCGTTATGCTCATATACCTGGTTAGACGCGCATTTCATCCTTCATCAGAAAAGCGAACCGATACTTTTTGCTGCGAGCATCATGCGCGAAATAGCCAGAGCTTCCTTTTCACAAAAAAAAAAAAAAAAAGCGGAACAAAGTGAATATCGGAATAGCGAAATGTAGAAAAAAAAGATCGCCAACAGCTCCAGGCAATCGCTCGCAGAGCCAAGAGCATTTTACTGCGAAATTGAAACCACCGTTGGCTACAAAGTTACTTCGTTCGATTCGCAATACGTCACCTTCCTACGCGCACGAACTCGATTCAGAGGGAATGACCTCATTACATACAACTGGATCATCAACTCCATGCATACTACCAATGGAGCCACTTCTCGACAATGCTGGCATTGATATTACTGGAAATTGAATATTCTTACGAGAGGAACGTTTCGCAACATTTATCATAAAAGGCTGATGATAAAGTGGCGAACTCTTTGTGTTTCGAGCATACGTTAAACGCAATTTTTACTTACATAAATAAATTTGATTAAAAGTATGAAATTAAACATATAATTGAGAGAATACAAATAAAAATAAATTTTTTAATCATTACTTTTTAATCATTACATAATTAGTAAATACGATGAAGAGGATATAATGTCCGGTGAAACAATTGCATCTTTCTTTTACTCAAATTAAAAATAGATAATAATATATATTATATATTTTATGTAATGTATATATCGTACAAAAAATGAGAAACTTCTTTGTAATGGCCTTGATAAGCATTTGTAAGTATTTTTATATATATTTGGTTTGATTGTTAACAGCTGTCTTTAATATATGTGTGTGTTTAACATTGCTAACATTTATTCTTTGTGTATTATTTCTAATATTTATCTAATATTCACATTTAACTTATATTATCTTCATGATGTGTAGATGATATCTAATTTTTTTGATTACATGTTACATAATAACTAATACTCGACATAATATAATCTTTTGAAGTGCTTAAAAAAAAAAAAAAAAAAAAAAAATACGTAATAAAAAACCGAAGAAACAAGCCGTTAGGAGCGGAAAGGAAAATTTGTTTACGTAACTCTACGTAACATAATAAAATCGCTTCTTTATCTGGCAATCTTCCTCTCTCGGTGCAGCGCTCGCTTCTTTCAACGTACTAAGATACAAATAGATCTTTCATCTCTCGCAATCGAACTGCAATATCCCTTTGATATATTAAAATAAATTCCCGGGGCCATTATTCACTCTTACATACATATATGATGTATTCGCGCCCAACATTAAATTTCCCGCGAATCTTCCATTCCAATGCACGGTTGATTGTCGAACGTGAAACGCGCGCTATTATTAACGCGATGAGCGCGGTATTTAACGGCAATTCGAAAACGGCGAGCGGGAGATACGAGAGGAGCGGATAAAGAGAGGAGAGGAGAGGAGAGGGAGGATGATTTGCGTTAATCAAAAGCGCCGTTTCTAAAATTAGACATCACGTATAGTATCCGCCGTGATGACACTTGACGCGAACTAATTAAGGGTAGCGATTCGGCGGGGCGGATCGAGGAAAATTGAGACCGGGGGAAAGCGGAAGGAACTAACAGGATAACGAAGACGCGATTATGCGGCCGGCGCTCTACAAAATCGGCTAATCCTACCGGTCTCTCGGATCCTCTCCCTAATGGATCGCGCCGCGCATACGTGCCAATCAGTTGAGAGGCTCCCGTCGATTATCGTGGAAACGGCGAATCTATAGTGAAAACGTGTTAATCTGTCTCTCGTCCAGGCTCTCTCCGTCATTTATCATCACGGTGCAGCGCGCGCGATTGAATAGTTCGAACGTTATTTATCGCGCGCTCTCTGTCTCTAAATCCCGCGCTAATTCGCGAATATTAATTTTATTCGCGCCGAGAAGAAAAGAGAAAGAAAAAGATTCAATAGCTTCTGGAAATTAGATAATAATTTTCGTTAGTAACATATTAATAGCGTGTAATAATATGTGTATATACACTAATGTAATATTGCTTTACGTTTAATTAGTATTAATAGCAAGGATAATCGAGAATTAAACGATAATTACTTTACAATTATTTATACAATATAAATATATCGATTTGTATAATATTAACCGTTTATAAATATACAAATATAATAATATAATATAAATCAATTGTATAATAAAGTACTATAATTCATTGCATTTACAAAAATAATTAATATTACTGTAAAAGAAAACACGCTTAATATCGAGATAAATCCGTGCAATCTGTCTAACAAAATTTACACGGGTCGAAGGAGCTATTATATCGGTGTGCAAGTACGAAACACTTACTGCCATTTACTTTCGCCGCGGTATGTAGTTACCATGCTCCATTCTCGGGGCGAGTTATAGCGTCATCGTCAGCTTTTTTAACTTCATCGCCGCCTCGCGAGGAGGGTGGCGGTTGGTCGGTTCTCATACCGCTTCTACCCTGTGAACGCTTTGTCCCTCTCTCTCTCTCTCTCTCTTTCTCTCCATATCGTTGCCACCCTTTGCGGATGTCATCACATTTTTCCTCGCGTCACTACCCCAGTAAAACCGTAGGAACGTATCAAACGCGCGTGTAACCCTTTAGAGTTTTAGAGATCGCATCCAAGTAACTTATTAATCTTTACAATAATTTGACGACCATACGAGAATATCTATGCTATGTTATATTTTACTGTTAATTCGAAATTTTTTAATTCTATTTCTGTCTTGTGAGAGAATAGAAAATTTAATTTTACGTTACACTCTGTATTTATGGGAAATTATATAATTATATTTATGGGAATTTTATACATCTACGTCTAAGATCGATATAAAGAGCAAATTAGATATTTAAATAAAAATTTCGGTTCCTTTTAATTACGATGATCATACGCGCGCGAATTTATTATAATATTATATATATTAGTGTAAACTTCGTAATATTGTAACGCTTTTATATAGTTATAATTATACTCTCTAGCGTCTCTATCATGTTGCGTCACTTTAACGATAAAAAGATGACGAGGAAACGATGCAGTTGTATTCTCATGACACTTTACTTTCATTATACTACTTTAAATGGATGCATTAGTAACGTTTAACTATGATACAAGTCTGTAGACACAAATATAACACGCATACATGTTTGCAGACATATTATGAAACGAAGCACGAATGCATTCACGTACGTTCACCGACATAGATCGATTGAATAAATATTTGTAAATAAACTTCCACCGACGCAACAAAAGTTTTGATAAATTCACTTGTAAAAAGTGTGAAATAGTAAATGCTGTTAACGGTTTAAATTAAATGAATATTTCATCGAACTGAACAAATAAAGCCATACAGTTTCTCGCGAAGTAACGTCACATATTAAACAATTTCGTGTAAAAAAAATTTTTTTTTTTTTTTTTTTTTTTTTTTAATACACAAGAGCTTGCATTCATTCTAAGTCTACCACTCTATTCTAATCTACGAGATATCGTCAAAACAACATTCGTCAAAACAACATTCTTCTTGCGAGAAACGATCAGAGCCTCATTTTATAAACCACATATTATAAGAGAGAAATGTTGTAAGTGAATAATAGTTAATTTCGATATCAAAAAAAATTCTCGAACAATTTAAAATTGTAAAATTGAAGTCTATAACTATTCTTTTCATCTTTCTCTATTCATTTTCGTGAAATGTCAATTTACTCCAAATTTGTTTTATATTAAATATAAGTCTTATGAAACGGGGCGCGATGTTTCTTGGATTGCTATAGACAGGCGAGTGCCACGTGGCTGACTAACGAGCAATGATGATGAACATTGATGACGTGATATGAGATCCGAAAGTATATGAATGATGAGATATTTACCTCGGGACGATGCATTGTATTGGCTCTTATTGTTAGCGATCTAGCGCAGCACAACTACGTCTATACATTTAAATTTTGGCTACTTGACGACTCCTTTAATACCCAGGATCGTGGAATGCTGGGCGCCGATCGTCGCCGTTTCCGATGCAAGCTTCTCGTGTAAAGATAATTTACTATCCCTACGAAGCTGCAGCACGGGTTCAGCTCCATTTCTATTATATTTACTCGAGATTGCGAACGATTTCCGTCGACGACGAGCTTCGGTAACCTCGTAAATCTCGCTATTTACATCGACATTCCATTAATCGAACAATCAGCTATCCTCGATGAACGAGATTGTCATCCATTGACGCTGGATGATACCGCTTGACGAAGTAAAATTAACAGTAGTAAGAGTTAATAATAATATTAATAGATTATAGAGAAATTTGAATTGATTTAAGATTCAAAAAGATAAGTTTACAATTATATATACATATAATTTTCGCATTTAATGTAAAAAGAGAGAATTATCCGTAATATATATATATATATAAATAAGATTTCCGCGAAAATTTTAATTCGCTGATCGATTACAAGATTAAAATGTTATTATTTCTAACACACAATCACACTACGATACACAAACCGAATACTCAAGAAGAGAAATAATTGTACAGACAGATCGTTAGATTGCGTTATTTATCTCCACTTATCCCGATTAGCCTTATCGTCGCGCGAGTCCCGCACAGGCGTCACTGAATCGTTTCGATTGGAGGATCAATGGCTTCGAGCGAACACGAGTCTCGCAGCATCCTCGATGACCGCGTGTATGTATATAACGCGTCGCGATCACCACGGTCACTACGTTGCCCTTCTCTCCCTCACCACCCCTATTACGAAACCGCGAACAGGACGAGACGGCGGGACAACGGGAGATCCGCGATCCTCTGGGGATCCGAGATCCGAGACAGAGGTGGAATCCCGAGGGACTCCCTGAGAGAGAGATGCGCGAACCCGACCAGGAACCGCGCGTCGCTTCGATCGCCGGTCAGAAACTGAATGTGGCGCGGTTCGAGCTACTAAAGCTCGAAATATAGTCGGGAGTCGGGGAGCCACCCCTTGCTCGCTCGCCCTCTCTCTCTCTCTCTCTTTCTACTTCTCTCGTTCCCTCCAAAGGGATGCAGAACTCCAGGGCGGGGGATGTGGCGGCGAACGAACGGGGGACGAGAGGGGGCATCGTTACGACGATCTTTCTGGGATCCGCATCGGGTATGTTCGGGGCTTCTGCGCACTAGTGCCCCAGTAACACACCCCCGTGCACACCGGATGGGGAAACCTCGAGTGTCGTGCGAGCGCAAACAAGTCGCGTCATCCCCGGTTGTCTCGATTCCCCACGATTTTCTCGACCTAGATGAGAGATTTTCTCTCTCTCTCTCTCTCTTTCTCTCTCTCTCTCTCGCTTTCGTTCATCAATCTTTGTAAACTGAAACCCTGCAGCTACAGCGCATAATAATTTAACTAATAATAAAATAAGGTTTTGAAGGTAAAAATATATTTTTTTATTGTACTATTTTCTATTTTCATATAATGATATAGATAATGTTGAAATATTGATCAATATCTTATCTCATTTTTCTATCTCAAACACGGCGAATAATTCTAAAAGTTACTTGCAACGCTCTCACGATCCTTTAGTCTTACAACAAATTTCTCAACACATGCTTTTCCAACTACATACTCCGAATTTTTTTTTTGACGTTTTCAGTGATAATGAATTGCGATGTTTCGGCAAATCTTTACTCAAATAACATGTCAGATCTATTTAATACTGATACGAGAGTTTTCACGAGGATCAGAGCCAGCGCTAATAGGTACCTAGCGTTAGACTGTCGAGTCGCAGGGAATATAGTCCGCTGGGATTTCAAATAAACGTACGCTCGTGTGTCTGGTTGAGTTGTTTTAACGTTTGAACACTTGTAACCGAGCTTGTGACAGATACGGAAATCATCGATTCTTCCACGACATCGGAAAGGAATTAAAAGAAGACGTGCTACGCGCTTCTGTCGCGCCAGTTTTCACCGAAACGAGTAAAGACAAGTATATAAAAAAATCTATTGTAATTTATTTGTAATTAAATTCTACCAGACTTTAGGAAGAACAGTTTTTCCAGTGACATTGGATACAGTGATAGAGAAATCATTTCTCGCATTAATTTGATAACGATGACTACATTGATAAATAATTACTCTAATTATTAATATTGCTTGAACACTTTAATAAAGGGAAGAAACGTTTCTACACGTGAATTTATGTCTTTTATTGTCAAATGTCAAATGTGTAGTACAACTGCTACAAACGTCAAACGAGTATGTCGCTATATAAAATCGTATCTACTAGATTTGGTATACTTTCAACACGTTCACGTCACCAATAAACCCGGACAGTTACATACCGTGTAACTCTATATTGGAAAATGATTAATAATACTTGAATGTATAAACGGGGGGATTGTACAGCTGAAAACTATATTGTCAATAACGTAGTTCTATCGGCAAAACGTCAAACTCAGAATAACGTTTGCTCGTATTACATTATGAACCTTTTATTTTTTTGTTTAAATAATTATTTAGGAACTTTTGGCTGCATATCCTATTTGGCAATCTACGTATATCGCAAAATAGATTTTACTCTTGATCCCTTTGACGAATTTAAACGGTTTATGTATGTTTACTTACCCCAGCTACATACGATTCTATATTCATATAAACAACTTTATAAAAACTCATATAATTAACACGATATAATATAAAAATCTGTATAGACATTTATAGTCTTTATCATAAAATCGGACATTACATATAATATTGATTTTCAGGAGAGAAAATCTATCTCGTATCGAATCATTTCAAGCGATTCGACGGGATGGATGGTCAAGTTTTGCGTAAAGAAGCTAATGCGAACGACATTGATTGTCATTACTAGAGCCACCCTCGAACAATTCTGAGACCCCGGAAAGTCGACCCTCACATTATACTATCTGATTTCGAAATCGCAGAGGGTTGTTTCGTCACGATTTGATCTTAATAATTAAGTATATTATCTTGATTGCTCTACGGCAATCAATTTTACACCCTTAACTTGTTTCTTCGTTTGCTCATTAAATTTGAAAAGACACATGTGATTTTTAATATTTCGATATATATAAAAATCAAAAAATATTTTTTAACTATAAAGAGAAAAAAAATATCTCAAAATATCTCAAAAATTGTTCTCATTTATAATATTCATCGTATAAGTTATACAAATTCTCATTAAATTTATTTAAATTAAAATAAAAATACTACACACAAATAAATAATTAAGAAAGAATTAAGAGATAAAATGTCTTCAGATTTCGATCGACAAATCCTGCGTATCGATAAGTTGCGGTTAAATTTCTTTTAATCTTATCCTATATCTTATTTTGATTTGTGTGAAAAAAAAATAAATACTTGCTACGATCCTTTCGGGGCAGATATATTTTGACAAAGTTGAGAGCGATCATGTGGCGCTCTCAACGCCAATGGAGCCGATAATTTATTTAATTAAACATTTACAGAAAACTACTATATACAGAAAGATAGAGAAAAATATATAATCGCTGTCTATATAAAAACCTAGATTTCTCATGCTTGCGGCGAAAGATTTGCGCTAAAAGCAGCGCGACAGCGAGAAAATGAAGCCGAAAACGTTATCCTACTTTGCTAACAATTGCTGAAGCTATGGGCACACAAACTAATTGAACTCTTGCATCACACAGTTCAACAGTTCTTACTCACCGCGCTAGTGTCATCGTGGTGTCACTCGATCGCGCTCGTAGGATTCTCTCTTGCTCGGACGGGTTGCTCGCGCTCATGGACGTTCAGCGCGAATTCAAGCAAAACAGCACAGAAAGAGAGGAAGAGGGAAAGGGAGAAAGAGATAGAGACTTCTATATCTGCGAAGAGATTACGAAGTCGGTCCTCCTTGACTGCTGGATCTTCGTGTTCTTCGAGGGATCACGAATGTTCGCCCCAATCACAATAATAGGAGTAGTAAATCGGGAGAAGGCACAAGGGAGGGACGGAGCTGATTCTCGTTCAAACTCGCGATCGAGTGAAATAAAAAAGGAGACTTTCGAAAAAAGAACCGAACCCGAACGTGATCTTGGATCTCGGTAAGGCAATCTCGTGGCTAGATCAATAATCGACACGGAGGGAAAATAAGCTCGTTGCAATAACGTTCGTCGCGCGAATGCCGACGAATATAATTTGGTTTTTTTCTTTTTTGCGAAAAAGACGGAAATAACAAGAAAATCTCGAAAAATCTCGTCAAAAAATGATCTCAAAGAGAGGACGATTTATTGTCACGATCTGGACGGCGATTTTAAGGCACGAAATAGTTTCGGAGCGTGACAGCCGTACGCTACGTCATGATGCACCACCGATGCACCACCGATTGCGAAATTAATAGAAGCGAAGGCGACGTGAGTTGCGGTACTTTTCGATCGGCTATATTCCTTTAAAACGACCGCGAACGGCGAAAAATAAACGTCAAAAGCAAGCAAAAACCGCAAGTGTATTTTCCGAAAATTGCACGTAAAACCGCACGAATGTTTTCTGAAAAAAAAAAGAACTACGGTAAACTATATGGTTTTGTGTAATAGAAATATATAACGGAAATAATAACAAGAACTTTCGTTAAAATCATAAATGTCACTTAATACTCGAAGGGAACTAAAAATCGAATGAAAACAGAAGTATGCTTTACCTGAGAGACCAGCGAGAAACGTTAGACACCCGACTAGATACCGTTTGCACGTAACGAAAGCCGCAACAATCGCGAGATCTCTTTCACTGTGAAGCAAAGTAGAAACGGTCGGTCGCCGATCAGACTCTATCTTCGCGAACTCTCCGAACACAAACAAAAAAAAAAAAAAAACAAAAGATAAAAAAAGAACTATGTAAATAATCGGGATGCGCGCGTAAGAGTCAATTAAAACGAAATGTTTAAAGGAAGACGGAGTAAAAACGGAAGAGCTTGCTAAGATCTTAATGCCCGAAACGGAATTTGGAAAATGGAAGTCGTTGGTTTCTGACGGCGATGCGAAGGAATGGGAAAAGAGAGCGAGGACGAGGATGTTACCCCGACGGCTGTCGCCAAAGAAGTGATAGGTCTGCGGCCTCGCGCGCGGTACCCGAACGACGAGGGCGACGAAAAGGGAACCGACGTCGCCCGAGGGCGCAGACGCGAGGGTTCATCAGCGAACGAGGACAACGGCGATTGGCGGCGATTGTTCGACGTTGCCCCGCTTCCTCGCGTTCCGCCAATTCGCGAGGGGGTGAGTCGTCCCCCGCCGGAGCCCCTTCCTATCCTACGGGAAGATTCCGCGAGGGGGGCGCAGCGCGGTGGCGACCCCTCCGAAATTCGAGTGTCGTATTGCGCTATATTCGAAACGTCGCTGGCCCTTTTTCGCCCTTTCGCGCGCGAAAGGGCGAGCGGTGTTTGCGCCGCGACTTTACGCCAAGATCTGGCGGGTACACAAGGGGAGGGGACAAATTCGGCAGTAAATTGCAGTAATCGGAATGACACCGCACCGAAAATTTATAGGACGATTATGAGAATGCAGTTGTAATTAGTCTAATGATGACGCTAAAGGACTCCGCTTGTCGTTATCCATAGCATTATTTATTACCTGTGTCAAGTAATCATTCGATTTAAGAAGACAATTGTTATTGAATTTTAGCTTTATAATATATGAAGGAGCTTAAGATATACACAAATAAAAATTTAATTCCGCAAAGAAATTAAGAATTTAAAAATTCCATTTACTTTAATTGTCCTTCTTAAGAATAAAAACAGACACAAATAATTTTTTCATATAAATAAATATACAAACATAATTTCTTTTCCATCTTTAGCGCAAGAAAATTCAACTTTGAAATTTCTATCTTAAGAGATGGATAAAATAAAGATGACACTAATTATTCTCCACAGTATGCAACATTTTCGTTTCCACGTTTCTCTCTTATAGCACACAGTAAGAAAAT